AGTCTGCCCAAGATGTAGATGTTGTTTTGCTAATAGGGTAGCTGTTATAAAAGTGTCTTCGGAAGGGTGTAATTAGACCCTAAACTAAGACATAAGCGCTTTCACATGTAGGGTTCCGGGTTCAAAATCTTTGGATCTCTTGATTCTAAATATTAGTAATGTGATTGTCTAGTACTGATGGTATGATGAATTGGCAGTTAAAATCAGCCATTAGAAAACTATTCTTGTCTGGGAGAAAGGCCGTCGGTTCAAATCCTATACAGTGGATGAAGTGACGCTCCCGCAGAATAGAGTGGGCAGAAGCACTTGGCATTTTGAATTCACCAGAGGCAGATGTCACTTACCTGCTCTCTCCAAGTTTATCTAAATTTAACAGTCTTTATTTGGTTTGATTAATCTTTGATAATAATAAAAGGGCACATTACTCCCTACTTGCCAATAAAGATATAGTGTTTGCTTCTGAATTAAACAATTTGTGATTAAGCAGAAATAGAGTATTTTATTTCTATCAGTGGACTAGCTTTAAATGTGTAGTCTCCTTGTCGCCCCAGTTATTACCGTGACACAACCCTGAGAAGAGTCTAAAGTGTTCTACTGAAGCGGGAAATAAATGAGTCAAGTGTTCTACCGAAGCAGGTAAACAAATAAATAAACATAAAGATAGATAGGCAACGGTCACGATAAGTAGCAAACGGTTGCGAGAAGTGACAGCCGAAGTGCGGTTGTAAGAAGTGGCGCAGCCAACGTGGACGCATGATTTAATAACGAAGGCAACATGCGACGGAGGACTGCCAGCTGAGTCCAGCTATCTGCGATTCCGAACCATAGGAACAAGAGGAGCAGGCTAGATGGAGCAGCACGTCACTGGCAGACAGCAACAGCTGGTCAGCGCTGCAGATATAAGGTTAGTCAGTGGTGTGCAGTTATGTCGAACCATGCCCTGCGCAGCCGAGTCGTGGAGCTGGAAGGAGACTCAGATATGTCGGGAGTGTGCGAAGAAGACCTCGTATCAGTAGAAAAAGAGTGTGTGCCAGAAAAATATATAGTGAATTTAGGCCAAGACAAGGTGCAAATAGGACAGAATCAGAAGAAAACTGTAAGTGCGGAACTAGAAAAGAGCACATGTGACGTGGCCGTTACAGAGCAAGCTAATGTAGAGGTTCCTCCTACCAACCCCGTCACCATGCATAATTCTTTACAAGCCATGTTTGATAGCATGTTAGCTTCCTTCAGGTCTGACCAGTTGCAAATGGTAGAAAGTTTTAAGAGTGAGATTTCTGCTTTATATTGTGAGTTAAGAGAAGATATTAGGCTGGAAAACCAGAAACTAATTAGGGAATTTAAAAGTGATCTGAATGTACCCATGTTTACTGAGTTAGATGATAAATTAGGCCAACAAGCAAAGGACACTAGCCGTATAGCAGACGAATTGACAGGCAAAATTATGCAGAACAAGGAACAGGTAAAAGAGCAAATTGCAGAGCTGTCAGAAGAAATAAAAGCTGTTAAAAGTGATTTTGCTAAAAATGAAGAAATCTTTCAAAAAAGGCAAGGGGAGCGTCTGGAACAAGTTCTGCAGGTGATAGAAAAGGAAAAATCTCTGAATAAGCGTAATTTTGATGAGCTTAACTCAGCTATTAGCAACTCGAAGGGTAAATTACCTGTAAACCCAAGAGCTGCTACCAGTGTAGAAACGTTACAACCATCTGAAAGCAGTTTTGTTCCAGCCACTCTCTCTGTAAATGCCAGTGACGACGGTACCGAATGTAATAATGAAAATGGTATTTTGGCATGCTCTGATAACCATGTATCTGGTAATGTGTGTTCGAAGGGAGGTGTGAGTGATCAGAATGTACCCATGTTTGTTCGTTCTCATGGCGTCAACCGCTACTTGAGTCAAACCGACTTTTCATTACCGATATTTGATGATAGCTCCCAGGTGAATGCGATGTTCCGTTTGAACCAGCTGGACGAATTTATGCAACTCAAGGGAATCCCTAAACAATTCCAACTGGGTATTGCTTATAAATCAATTGTAGATCCTGGAGGCAAACAGTGGTTAGCCGCCATTTCACACACGCTCACTAATTACGAGCGATTCAAAATTGCATTTTCTAAGAACTATTGGTCTCAGTCACATCAGAACTTGGTAAAGTGTAGCATCTACCAAGATAAGTACGATCGGCAATCAAATTTATCGATGTCTAGTCACTTTATAAAATATGCGGTGCTGGCATCATATCTTGAACCGAAAATTGGAGATGGAGAGCTGATAGACGCGTTGAGGTCTCACTTTCCTATTTACGCACAGAGGGCTATGTTGGGAGCGAAGATAAGCACAATTCAGGAGGCGATTGAATTCCTCAAAAGACTGGAAATGGTTGAAGGGAATGACGCTAACAGGAAGCCGAACCCTTCACCCAGTAACATAAATTCAATGCAGAATAGGGGACCCGACCATGGCCAGCGGAGTGATAGGTATAGACCGAACCAACAGTTTGTTAGACAAGTACGCTACGACCATAGAAATGACTACCGAAGGGATAATTATGACAGAAGTTCGTGTTACAGACGACACGAATCTTTTGAAAGCGGTAGAGAATCGAGCAATAATTATTCCCCTACCCGACTGACGTTGAATCCTGCCGCACCAGACTTTGAGACTGACACTCGACAAATGAGCAGCAGTGAACAAAGACAGACTGCTACGCAACAGCCTTTGGGAAATTCCCATTGAAAGGTGTTGTGGACCAGATGCCTTTCACACATGAACATGGGAGTGTTTCGGGTCCACTCTTTCGGCACAGTTTTGATAGTGATGATCATGCAGATAACTTGAATGTCTCGAAGGACGATAGTTCTTTGAATCCTTTAGACGAACTGATTGTATTTTATGTTAATGATAATAACCTAGGCAACTGCACCCAAATAGATATTTCCTTCGGAAAACTAAGAGTTACCGCAGTGTTAGACTGCAGGAGTCAGGTCAGCATTCTGGCAGAAAGTGTATACGAGAGGTTAGTAGAGACAGGAATGAAGATTTTAACATTGCCACTGGAAAATGTAGATCTTGTCACCGCCTTTGGTAACAGGACGCGGAGGATTAAGTTTGAGGCTTTCTTAGAATTTAGTATTGGAGAAGACAGATTTGAATGTGTGTTTTTAATATCACCTCAGCTGACAGGATCGGAGGCGATTTTAGGTTGTGATTATGCTCATGAATACGGTATTATGATTGATTTCGTAAGGAAATTCTTGCATTATGAGAGAGATGGGATTAGGAAGACTCAGTTGTTTTGTCGGAGCAGAGATAAAATGGAAGTAGAATGTGATGGGATGGGGTCTAATGGACAACTGATCCATAGTATAACTCATATTACACAAACCCAATCCATTCAAACCTAGACAGGTGTAGTACCCACCCGATTCACTGCTGCTCAACCCAGCTGTGAAGTGTCCCACCAAAACCCGCTTGCTACCGCAACCCTTGTTTGTGTCGAAGAAAGAGGTCAGTTCCTTATGAATCGACGACGTTAGATGTAGTCAGTATGAAAGTTATGAGGATATTAAGATATTGAGTAAGGCAGAGTTCCTTACGTAGCGACGACGTTAGATGTAGTTATGAGGATATTAAGATATTGAGTAAGGCAGAGTTCCTTACGTAGCGACGACGTTAGATGTAGTTATGAGGATATTAAGATATTGAATAAGGCAGAGTTCCTTACGCAGCGGCGATGCTAGATGCAGTCAGAATGAAAGTTATGTGGATATTGAGATATTTGAAGTCAAAGGGATTAATAGAGATGAAGATTACAGTAGCCATAATTAGGCTTTTGTTGACAAGGTAGGTGAGCGTAGCAATGGGGGGAGTGGTTATGAAGACAGGAAGGGTGACCAGTTTAAAGTAAAGCCTACTGATAAAATTGAACAAGATGTCCTTGACCCACGTTCATTGCGGACTGTGGACTTGTATGCTCTGATTGAAGCGACTGAAGGTCTGGACAACAACCAGAGGGAAAGTTTAAGTAATCTGTTGAAGAAGTATATTAAGCATATGACCGCCAAATTCAGACATCCATATGAAGAGCCCTATATTATCAGAAAAATTGTACCACCATCTGCATATGAAATCTCTGATTCTAAAGGAAAGCTGAGATGAATGTTTAACAAACAACTTCTAAAACCGTAATTTGTGGGAGTAGACGTCGGCTAGTTCGATTGTTGCGATATTGCCTAAACTGAATAATTAAGTTGATATGAAGTTATTGAAACCAAGCTCTGTAATTAATTAGCTGTGATGAATATGTATTTATAAAAATTTTACTAATTAAATGATTTTC